CGGCCCTGGTAGAAAGTGGTAACCGTCACCATACACCTCGCAGAATACACCGTAATGCTTACGGTAGCCATCTTGAGTTGAGAACTATGGACTAGGACTATCCTCACTATCAGCCACAAACTAAAGTTTCATCCCAATCATCTGGACGAGTGGCGGTCTTCCACCGTGCGTTTTTCAAAGCACTTTCGTCCGCGCACAACCATTCTTTGGAATCAACTTCCAGCAGCTGTATTTCCGAACCGATACGACAACATAACCTTCAAGAAAAGAGTATATTCCTTTTTAAAAAGCCGGCAGCACACTTGCAATGCCGCTGGTGTTGTGGGTGATCATGGGCAGCGATAGTCACTTACCATCATGAGTGAGCCGCAAGCTCGTTTGCCCCCTGTGTTGTAAAAAAAAAATCAGCACTTAATTGTGTCTACTGCTGAACATAAGCCTCCCCTGTGAGTGGTTTTTCCAGTAGTTGCCACACTTGGCAGGTAGGTTAGTAACCGCAGTCAGGCTTTAGAGATGTTTTAAGAAGCTGCTGCCCATTCCGGACTATGCTGGACTATGGATATGATAAAATAAAACTGGCTATAGCTTTATAGTTTAAAAAGTTGCCAATATACTAATTTCAGATTAGACTATCTGCGGGTCTACCATGAAATGAAATTTCGAAATTACGAACTCAATTTCGTGTTTTTGTTTATACCAAAATCGGATCAATAAATGGAGTTTAACATTTCGTTTATCATACATCCTATAATAAAAGTCCAAAGGAACAATATTTTAACATTTTTTATATTTCCAAACGGCATGTATTATGTAATTTTAACATCAAATTTCTGTTTCGTTTGGCTCCGAAATTTCGGAAAACACTTCATGGTAGGCCCTCTGTTTACTTTTATTAATTCGAATTTAAAAAATATAATTACAAACAAAGTTAACAAACAAAATACTTAAAACACGCTAGCTTCTGCCTGTGACTTTGTACATGGGACTGGAATATACTAATATATAATACTGGTCGAGATAAAACATAGTCTATATCTTTCTTTATACCCTACAGATAGAGAGATTGAAACTTTTTATTGTTTCCTCCAAAAAATTATAATAGTAAACTTATTATAGATACAAACAATTACAAGCAATAATCACAGTGAGAAAACAATGGCCAGCGTTACCGTTAAAAGCGATCTCTTCCAGGCAACCTTTGGATGGAAAGTAGTAATTATAAACAGTTTGATCGGTAGCAAGATGAAAATTCTGTTATTTTTTAATATAGTACCTACGTGTATATCATATGTAATAGTGATTATTTAAACTATTAAGGCGTTATAAGGTAACAAACAAACTTACTTTCACATTTATAACATTAGGATTTAAACAAACCTAGTATTGAGACAATCTATACAGGTTGACAGGAAATTGATTATATAAATAAATAAATGAATAACAATTTATAACAAAGTTGTAGGAAAGTTCTTCTATAGGTACTAACTAAACGAACTAACCTCGTCTTACATGAGATCTCAAAACTTTTTGTTTCAATAGAACTATATTACGAGACTTGGCATTTTTTTTTACATTGTATGTTTATTTTTTTTTTTATACAACTTAGATTGACAAACAAGCTGACGGCCCACCTGATGGAAAGTGATAACCGTCGCCTATAGACATGGGTAGTACCATGGACATAACAGAGTATACTGTTTCGCCCATGATATCCCCCATGCGTTGCTATTCCTGAGGACTCAGGTGTTATTCCTCTGTACCCTGTAAATTCACGCCATATCCCACCCTTCAAACCAAAACACAGCCATGCAAACACAACTGCTTCACGGTTGAAACACGAATAGGACAGAGGTACCCAAGTAATCGACTTTTATACAAAGTCTCCCTCTGGTTTTTTATTATAATGCATTCATGTACATATTTCGTTCATTAGTTCTTATGTAGAGTAAGTAGACGAACCCTGTTAGAGTGTAGCAAAATTATATTGATAGGTTGCTAATATACATGCATTTATGTCAATGTAGATATTAGATTAAATTTAATTATTTTACATATAATTGCTCGTTTTTACATAGATTTGCCTTACAGTGATCTCGATTTACATTAAATAAATGAAAAATAATTTAAAATATCACAATAATCACATAAAAATGAATTGAATGAAAATATGTTTTTGATAGTCGTAAGAGTCGACTTAAGGAGGACGAGGGATGGACAGCAGCGTCCCTATTAAAACATCTCTAAAAGCCTAACTGCGGTTGCCAACCCGCCTGCCAAGCGTGGGAACTACTAGCAAAACTCCTCTCATAGGGAAGGTACAAGGTTGAACATAAGTTCAACAGCGGACAGTTAACTGCTGAAATAATTATATTTTTGATAGGATAAATTATACTGTAATAAATACTCTCTTTAATATTATGATAAACTAAGATTCAACCAATATGTCTACCAAATTTTAATCAAATCCATTGAGCCGTTTAAGCGTAATTGAATTACAAACAATCTTTACGAATTTTCACATATTATTAGTTAGCTAATAGTTTGCAAACATTCTCAACTGGACTATTCAAACAGGAAAATAGATTTTCTTTTTAATTTCATCAAACTACTTTTGGTTCCGTACCGAATGAGTGTGATCAAAGTGAATTTTTCCGTCGATTGGCAAATTAGAACGAGCAAGTTCGTACGTCCGCTGATACCGGCCGATTGAACTCTGCCCGCCAGCTGTTCCCGATGGCTTTCAACTGGCTCCATATTGGACATTGTCTCGTGTCTTATAAGATCTTTTTATACATATATACACACATATATATATATATATATATATATATATATATATATATATATATATATATATATATATGTATTTCATTTGGGATAACAATAGCGTTTTACATCGTTAAATATATTTTGGAGATAAATAGTCATACAATGTAAAATATGTGAGTAGAAAAAAAGATTATTTATTATTATTACACATTTACTAAATGCTAGTCAATTACAATTATCCATTGCGTAATACATAAGCATCCGTTGAGCAAATAAAACCATAGTTTATATATTTTTTTTAAACATAGAATGACAAACAAGCTGACGGTCCATCTGATGGAAAGTGGTAATCGTCGCCTATAAACATGAGCAGTACTATGAACATAACAGAGCATACTGTTTCGCACATGATACTCCCCATGCGTCGCCGTTCCTATTCACTGATATATCCGACCCTTCACACCGAAACACCATGCAAACACAACTGCTTCACGGTTGAAACACGAATAGGATAGAGGTGCCCAAGCAAACAACTTTTGTACAACAACTCCCTCTGATGGTTTTTATTTATTCGTGCAGTATAATTTCGTGAGTGCAGTATAAAGTTGTCATTGGCAATAGATTGAATTAATATCAATATTAAATTCAAAAGTAGATCTGCTGGTCTATCTATATCTGTGATGTCTATGGCACCACCCTAAGGTGGTTATATTTGCATATACAGAGTATGTAGCTGTCTGGTGGCCTATTCAACTTTTCTATAGGCGGCGACGACAAAAACTAGTGGCACCTTTGTGAGTTTTCCTAGTAAGTAAGTTAGTCACCAAGTGCCCTCGAGTACACTCCATCGCTATTGTTTCCAAGCCCTTATTGTTTGGTAGCGTGGTTTTTCGGATACAAAAGCAGTAAAGATTTATACTTTTAAAGGTTTTAATTCAACACTGGGCTTGGTAACAACAGTACCTTACTTTATTTTTTTTTAAACCGTCATTAAGCAAAGTTACACTAAACCATTACTTACATGACAAAAGTGTATGGTGTTACTAGATCGTGTACAGGCTTTTAAATGTACGAAGATCATGTCAGTTTAGATATCATCATTTTATCATCATACTAGCACTTAACTGTCCACTGTTGAACATAAGTCTTCCTCAAAAGGGGAATTTTTCCAGTAGTTTCCACGTTTGGTAGGCAGTTAGACTTATAATAATATTTTAAGAGGGGCGTTGCTGCTAGCCCTCGTCCTCCCTTAGTCGTCTCTTACGACACCCACAGGAAAGGAAGAGTTAGCCCATTCTATGCCGGTACCAACACGGTATATTTTTTTTTTACACACACACACATTTATCCATAATACATTTATACGTTTTTGTTGTTGTTTGTTGAATGTTTACTTTCTTAATAGAAATTTCATATAAATGCAAAATTAAATTACATTTAATTAAATTGAAAAGAGAAACTGCTGAGTTTCTTATTGATTCTTCTCAGCAGACAAAGCAAAGCAACTACGCTACCGGCAGTGGAATTATACATAATAAAACGACTATTTAAAAGACTATTTAAAATCAAGTCTATTTAAATAAAAATGATTTATATTATAACAGCGATGAAAATAGAATGGTAACTCCGTCTTGTTGGCCGTTTATGAGTGAAGGATGATGTAAGGTCAATTAGACTATCGTAATGAATTTAGCCACAATGGTTTCCATGGGCGCCTGGATTGATTGATGATTGATCTGATGGGGTACATTGTTAGGAATGAGCTTGCTAGATCTTATTACTAAACTTAATTTTACTTAGCTTTTTAATAGCTGTTCCTAGTTGCTTAAAAAACTTGTAAATTGTAAGTTTTATTTATTTATTTATTTATAAGTTACAAAAAAATATTAAAAAAAAACAACAGTCGAATTTCTTCCCTGTTCTGTTTATTTCTAACTATTTTTCAACTTCTGTAGTAGATTTAATATTATTTAATATTTGTTTTAAATTCGAATTAAGAATTAAAACAAATGAAATTTAACTATGAAACTAATTTATTTAAATTTATAAATTACAATACATATAAAAATACAAGCACTTCAAGCGTGCTTGTAAGTATATTACTTATAAGTATATAAAATTATGTGATGCTTAAATTGTTACATAAATGTGAATTATGAATTAAAATATATAGAATTTGAACATGTATATAATTTTTATAAATTATTTTTAACATAAATTCTAATATAGGTGCACTTTTTAAATAGTTTTAAAAATGTAGGACTAATTATAAAATAAGTGATAAAATCTATTTATTTATTATTAATAAGTAGTGTGAAGAACGAGTACGCGGTCTTGACAATCTGCAAACAAATAATATTTTATTTTTAATAGCTGTATCCTGTCTTTACTTGCATTAATTAGAATAGAATTAATGACAAGTTGTAGTCGCCCCTTACGACGCCCCTGGGCGTCTAAGGGAGCGAGGGACGGACAGCAGCGTCCCTCTTAAAACATCTCCAAAGCCTAACTGCGGTTACCAATCCACCTGCCAAGTGAACTACGGGCAAAATCGCCCAATGGGGAGATTTATGTTTAGCAGTGGACAGTAAAGGCAGATACAATGATGCGGTGGAAAATTGCCCAATCTGGCAACGAGGGATATGACTAATATATGTCAGGCTCATTTTGTATGCAATGGAGTAACTTTACTGGCAAGAGCTCCACCGACAAGAGCGCAGCTCTTAAATGGATAGATAGATAGGAGTAACTTTATTGTACTCACGAAAACAAATAATTCCATATCGAAGTCCATTACATTAAATATAGTCATATTAACGGGAAATTGCCATCTTGCTATCATGAAAACAATAATGTTCCTAACAGATTTGTCATAAATCTTCTCCCATCCACAGCTATAGATTAATGTTGGGACATCAGCAGCCTGAAAGATTTAGAGAAATTATATATGACTAAAGTCCTAGCTTTGATTAAGATAAGTCTTTTTGAAAATATTTGAATTTAGAACGCGGAATGTACAAGTGTTTGGAAACATTTGAATTTAGAACGTAGAATTTACAAGTGGTTAAAAATTCAGCCTTAACAATCTCCGTACAATAGATAAATTGAGCGTGTTACTGCTTTTCGATTCTAAAATAAAGTAATTTCAGAAAAGTTACTACGTAGGTTCCAGACACGGTTCAAAAATATCTTTTCCTCGTAATATTTTCAATAATATTTTTTCGAACTTTTTATGAACTTATTTCATTAAGAGTTATTTGAACTTTGCTTTACTGGCTTTTAATTTAAAAAGAGGTATTAAAGAACTTTTCATAAAGATACTTTTGCTCAGTGGAAAATTATAATTCTCATAGTAAGTCTCAAGTATAAATAAACTTGTTTATTTAGATTTTAAAACACATTTTTTTTATAGATAATATTTTTTTACAATCGATTCCAAAAAGCAAGAGACTTTTAATTATACTATATATATGTATATATATATATATATATATATATATATATATATATATATATATATATATATATATATATATATATATATATATAGCTGACACCGTAAACGTTGTTTTACCACTTCACTTATTCACTTATTGCGAAATATAAAAATCGCGATTAAAATACAGGGCTTGATCATAAAACGATGAAAATTTAAAGTTGTATGTATTTTTCAATGCTAAATTATAATAAAATAAAAATAAAAAAAATTGTCAAAAAAATAAAAAAAGTATATTTTGGGGTGGGTCACCATTATCATTGACGGGTATGAAAAACCTACCCGATATGTACACAAAATTTCATAAAAATCGGTAAAGCCAATAAAAAAAATTAAACAAAAAACAATTGTTGTTTATTTCATATATATATATATATATATATATATATATAATTGTTACGATAAAATCATAACATGCCATGACGTGCTGCGTATAAAAGGTTCCTATTTTAGCTTATCATAATATAGGTATTATATAATGCCATTGGGCCTAATATATAGTTTAAAGTACCAATTATCAACAGGACAGATAAGATCTCGAATAGTGACCCCGTACAGACAAATGCATGAGGATGACCCCATACTGTATGGAACAACGACTTCAAATGCGTTACAGGGAGTCAGTAAATGCAAGTAGCTCAGGACTGTTTCTTAAGGCAGTCAGTGAGTTAAGAACTCTGATTATAATGACTTACCATATTCTTGATTTTACCAGCATAATGGCATAACGTAAACATGTAAAGAACGATAGCAAGCGAGTATGAAACGTATCTTGCGTCAAATCCAAAGCCCTGTTAAAAATTTTTAATTAATTTTAATAATAATAATAATACTTTATTATCCAGACTACAATGCGGTCCAATTTTGTTAGTAACAATTTTCTTACAAACTATGTTAGTAAAAAAAAAAAAGAAAAACAAATTGATTTAATTAAGCAATTCACCCAGATGTGACCCAGCCGACTAGATCAGCATCTGAATGAAATGACCAATCATAGGCGAGTTATATTTCTCGCCTATTACTTTTAGAATTTATTAATAATAAATTTATTTAAGAATTTAATTACGTATTTACATGTAATAATGTAATATTTTTGTATAAATAAAATAAAATTCTATGCAATAATTTAACTAGTCATAAAAAACTCATATGATGTAATCGGTCATTTTATGTTTTTTTTTTTTTATTAATGATAATAGAATGGTAAACTCCACCTGCGTTACCGGTATACGCTGGCGGGGCACTAATGAGGTATAGGTGAGGATGAAAACAGGTCAGTTATCCCGTTGTGATAAATTCATCAAAATTTACCACGATGGTTTTCAGAGGGAGCCGCGTGGAGGTCGACCTCTTACAATATACCCTATATTGCTAGTAATGAACCTCTTTCTCTTTACTAACAATCCCTTTTCCCCGCCATCTTATAGTTGCGGTCATTTTAATATGACATCGTTTATTGTATCATAATCCACTCTTCAAGCTAATTAATTTGATATGCATATTAAAGGGGTTGACAAAAAATACATCTCGTTATGGCTATATCTCGCCAACCTATAGGGCAGAATTATCATTATATTTCTATGCCATGAAGAAAAAAAAACAAAATTAATCTATTTTTTTTTTTTCTACTGTCACAGAGGATCTTAAACAATATTTGGAAAATGATCAGAAGTAAAAGCTGCTATGAGAACCACATACCTGCGTGACATAGTACATACAAATGCACATTTCCATAATTGAAGCTGAACTTATCAAACTCATCCATATTTCGAAGGTCTGCCGAACTGCATCTATGTATCTGGAATATGTATGCATTTTTTTATATAACACTAATAAAGTGGCAAATAAGCATATAGTCCATCTAATGGTATGCGGTTACTCTACCTATGAACACCTATAATACTAGGAGCATCACACGCACGTTGCTGATCTTGAAGAAACCTCTTCATACCTTTTTGAAGAACCCCAATTTGTAGCCTTTTGGGAAAACTTCAATAGGGAGTTTATTTTATACCTAAGCATCCGTGGGAGGAAGCAATACTGACACCACATCGTATGCAATCATCTAAGTTCAAAGATATGGTGGTTAAATGCTCTCTCGTAAATTGGAGTAAATGAAATTGGATTAATAGTATTTTTTTGAAAATGTTTGAAAATGTTCGAGGATTTTAAGATCGAATCAACCAAAATCTAAATTTTCAAATTCCTGTTTGGTTTATACATTTTCTTATTGTTAAGAAAGCAAAGCATCAGGCAGTCCACCTGATCGGAAGCGCTGGGAAGAGATTGTTAGTAGTGCGGACTACCAATCTCATTGCTAGCAATATACCCTGTCAGATCGACCTCCACGTGGTTCCCCCTGGAAACCATTATCATTCATTATCAACCTGTTAGGAAACGATTACCGTACTCCGTAAACACTTGCAACACGAGGGGGGTTGCTTGTACGTTGCCAGTCTTTTAATTGTTTGAAGGAATGTTTTTTGAAATGCACTATGTTGTAGCAATACAACATCGTGCATTTTAAAAAACTTATATATAATATTTTTTGCCATTCGCTTCGTGTTTCAGAGGATATGTAAATCACGTCAAAGGTGTTCATGTATAACGATGATTACCTAAAAACTTTTGACATTCGAAGGAAAGTCGGCATAAAAATTGATCTAACTTTATTTATTTATAAACACAATTAAAGTTATGATCAAGAAAAAATTAGAATCTTACGAGAATGTTCTTATTTGCTTTTTACCAACCGCATCCTCGTTTTTGGATCTTCTGTACGGCACGCATCTTCCAACGCTGCACAAAAGAGTCGCATCTTGACACATGCGTGGCTCATACTAATTGCCATTAAACCTTCATATCCCATGAACTGTAGTATATACATAATACCACTGAGTCCTGTATAAGCTACTATGAATTCGAAATATGGGGAGTTAAACCTTTCTTCAAGTGGGCGAAAAGGATTTGGCAAATCGTTGAACATGTATCTCTGCTGTACCTTAACAATGATAAACATAATAAATGTTATTAAATCCAATTTGAGTAAACTGTTACGTTCAACATATAACTAAAATGATTACTTCTAGAAACATAATCAAATTAGAGAAATCATAAAACATATTAGAGTTCCTTAAATAATGCAAAAAACAAGCCTACTTTTTTCAAGCAAGCAAATCGGCGGTTCAACCTAAAAGAACTACCATCAAGATATGAACAGAACTATGGAGATCACTGAAGTAACGCCCGTTATAATCCTCATGCATTGCTGTTTATGTAGACTAAGGTTGTACACTTGTGTACCTTGTAATTTCACTACCATATTTCACCCTTTAAATTGAAATATATCCATTAATCACAGCTGATTAGTGACAGGAACATAAGTAGGATAGGTGTACCTATACAGATAATTTATATTCATAATCATCATCATGATCATATCAACCTTAAACTGCCCACTGCTGAATTTAAGCCTCCACCTTGGGACTTCTGCCAGTAGTTGCCACGCTAAGCAGCTAGGTTGGTAACCGTAGTCAGGCTTTAGAGATGTTTTAAGACTGACGCTGCTGTCCATCCCTCGTCCACCCTTAGTCAGTTCTAACGACATCCACGGGAAATAAAAGGGTAACCTACTCTATACCGAGACAACATGGCCAAGTACTAACTGTGTAAAATTTTTGATTAATCTTAGGGTACAGTTTTGGATAATACCGATTATGACATAGTGTTAACAAATCTGCGATATATAGTAATCAAAGTTGAACAAAATAAGTTACACAAGAAAATTATGATTCTGTCGGTGGTTCAACTCATTTGAATGTTATTATGGTTTCAATATCTGATATTGATACTAATTTACCACCTTTTAAATATAATCATCATCATTTCAGTCATTTACTGTCCACTGCTGAACGAAGATCTCCTCCATAGATTGCCATAAGGAACGATCCTGAGCAACCTGCATTCACTGACTCACTGCTATGCATTTGATGTCGTCCAGTGAAATATCAATCTATACTACGCTTGCTTATACAGGATCGCCACACAATAAACCTTCTTCTCTATCGGTTATTAATTCTTCGAGCAATGTGATCAGCTTACTTCTTCTTCGAACTATGCCAATATCAGATTAAAACAAATGTATGGACTTGAGATATTACTTACTCCATTCACGATATAATTATATGCAGTCAAATAGGCAGCTCTTGTTATAAATATGAAAGAAGGAATTAATAACAGAATACTCCAGCGAAACTCAAAAGTTTTAGCTTCAGCTATGGACTCCGTAATCAGATCGCTGTATCGCGGAGGCAGATTATTGCAAATGGTGTAGTCTCGATTGATTTCGTCAAGCACGTGTTTCGCTTCTCGTCTTTTCATGTAGCACAGACCCATCTGTTGACAAATTTTATTAATTTAGTTGTACGGTCTGCTACTAAATTGGAATTTTTAATTATCTCAATGGTCGCGCACTGCGCGGTTTCAGAGATGTTTCCTCCCACGAACACTCAGGTTGTGGAATGAGCTCCCTGCCGAGGTTTCCTCAAGAGACTACAACATGGGGTTCTTCAAAAGGGGGGTAAAGAGGTTTCTTCAGGGTCGGCAATGCACGCGTAATACCTCTGGTATTGCAGGTGTTCATAGGCTACGGTAACCACTTACCATCAGGTGAGCCGTATGCTTGTTTGCCACCTCAATGGTATAAAAATAACATTTCAGCATCATATTGTTATCAGAGAATAGGTATCTCTGTTTTGATACTAATATCTTTATACATTATTTTTCCTTCTTTCTTTCTCACCCTTTCTCTCTCTCGTAATTTTTTTTACTGCTAAACATGGGTTCTCCCTTGACTTTCATAAGAAACGGCAACATTTGAGCAATATGATCGTATGTAAGACTAAATCAAATCATTAAAGAATATTTTTTTACTACATATACCATGTGATAACAATTCGAGAATGTTCTTCCCTCATTGATCGCCGATTAAATGGACACATATAACAGGTTTAAACTGCATTTATAAAATATAGTAAGCATATTTGTAATTAGATAAATTCCGAGAAAAATATAAAAGCACCTTTTTTCTTTTTTCCATGCAAATTATTACTAGCTATCAATTCTAACATTTTAATCTAATATTGATTAAAATTATTAGGTTTCGATAGAACGACATCTGTCGGGTTAGATAGTAATTAATATTAGTAATTTTATTTATTATAAAACTTTAATACACCTAGAAAGTGTAAATGGCGCACTTAACACCATATGGCGTTATCCAGTTGACCGTAGACAGGAATAAGAGAAAATATAATTGACGATGCAACGTAATTTTTAATTAAAACAGTAATTCAAAAATAACATACGTATAATACTCATATTACTTACATTATACATATATATTTTATTATGATTTCTTGTACTGAATATTTTTTTTTTAATTCTTAGAATGACACACATTTTGTATACCTTGAAGAAACTGCCTGCAAATGGTCCAGTTATAATGAGTACACGAATCATATTTCCTATGTCACCTTCCATCCAGTACCAAGCTGTGTCGTAGAAGCTGATCAAGAGTAACGGAATGAATGCAACTGTGACAATTGCTGTGAAAATAAACAATTATTTTAGTCCGTTATTTTTTTTTGAACAAGCTCATAAAGAAATTAATGTATTTTTAATAATTATTACTCCTCCTTTCAATAATGATAACTCCGCATAAAAGATAGGCTCTCGACAGTCTCCTATCGGAGGATTCTTGGATACTTCGGTCATGTTGCACGACGACAGTCCGATAATTTGGACAAACTAATGGTTGTAAGCAAGATAGAGAGAAAAAGACCACGCGGACGATCGCCTAGTCGATGGTCGGACCAAATAACCGCCGTTACGGGACTGTGAATTGCAGCTGCCCTGCGAGAAGCTGAAGACCGTGCACAATGTAATAACATCATAAGAGAGGCAACAGACACCTTTCAAGGACACGACCTTCAGTAATGAAGTGGACGAAGAGAGAGAGAGAATAATGATTATTTTAAATGTAGAATGTATTACATACTGCTTTTTATTTTGGATATATACTTACTATTACTAATATTACAAAATGTGAAGTGAGTTCGTTTGTTCGTTATCTTTTATCGCCTTAACGGCTTAGCCAATCACTGTGAAATTTGGTATACCCGCATTTTTTACTTTTTATTTTTATCCCTTTCAATCAATAAATCCCAGTCATACGGACAAAGTCGTGGATAAATACGTCCTTACTTAGTTATATACATTATAAACATGAAAATGAGTTTGTTACCTTTAAGCATTAATTTACTGGGTACGGAGGAATAACACCTGAGTTCTCAGGAATGGCAACGCATGGGGAGTATCATGGGCGAAACAGTATACTCTGTTATGTCCATGGTACTGCTCATGTCTATAGGCGACGGCTGCTACTTTCCATCAGGTGGGCCGTCAGCTTGTTTGACATTCTAAGTTGTATAAAATAAATAAAAAAAACTCTTTACTCTCTTAGAAGCTACTTTTTATTCCGGCTATTGAATTTATACCAGACATGCAAACGAAGTCTTTTTTTTATACAACTTAGAATAGCAAACAAGTTGACGGCCCACCTGATGGAAAGTGGTAACCGTCGCCTATAGACGTGAGCAGTACTATAGACATAACATGTTTCGCCCATGATACCCCCAATGCGTTGCCATTCCTGAGGACTCAGATGTTATTCCTCAGTACCCTTTGAAGTCGCGGGTGAATACTAGTTATAAATAAATTAATAAAATCTTACAGATGGCCCATAGCCGCTTTCTATCAGTGGCAGGATCAGGATAAAACATTCCAAATACCATCATCACGGTTGTCCACCGGTAAATTTCTTCGAATGACTTGATTGGTTTTCGCGGTTCTGCGGCAAGGAAAATAGAATTTTGAAATGATATCATCATCATTATCATCATATTACCGGTAACTGTCCACTGCTGAATATAGACCTCAATCATAAAGAAGGTTTTGCTAGTAGTTGCCACGCTTGGCAGGTGGATTGGCAACTGAAGTTAGGCTTCGGTGACGGTTTAAGAGGGAAACTGCTACCCATTTCTAGACCCTTAAATTCCTTTAGTCGTCTCCTACAACACCCACGAGAAAGGAAATTATGATCCATTCCATGTCGGGACTATATCTCAAACGTAGAATTCAATTAAATGAAAAATACAGTTTTTCTTTCTGCATCTTCAATCTACGTGACAAATATAATAAAATACAAGGTATAAGAACATAGTCCTTAATATAGAATATATATCACGTAAAAACTACTGCACCAAATTGCATACCATTTTCATAATTGTATTCCTAGAGGTCTAAATTTAAATTTGCTTTATTTAGACCTTTATGTTTTGTAGCTGTTTAGAAGTCACCTATTTCTTTTAGTTTTACGACTGAAGTCCACACATAGTAACGGGAAAAAACTAGTATATAAATATAAATATGAAAAAAAAAATCTAAACTAATAGAAAAGTACCTCGAATTTCATCCGGATCGCGTTGAACATACGTTACAAAGTTCTCCATGGCGTAGTTGCACTATAAATTGAGGTGCAAAGAAGCAATTTATAGTGCTAGCGTTGGTGTTTTATATTATACACAGGGTGTAGACAAAATCTTTTATATCTTTTTATGCAATTTTAAATAAGAAATGAAATAATAGCTCACATCAGGTAACTGGTAACCGTCACCTATAGACATGACCAGCACCATGGACGTTACAGAATACACTCTGCTACACGCTAAGTACTACAGTATCTCTGAACCCTGTAATTTCACTGCCATTATTATAATTATTTCAGCCGTTAACTGTCCACTGCTAAATTGGAGATGTTTTAAATGAGAAGCTCCTGTCTGTCCCTCCCCCTCTCTTAGTCGCCTCTTACGACACCCACGGGAAAGAAAAGGATGGCCTATTCTATGCCAGGACCACCCGGCAATTACAACAAAATATTTTGAAAAATAGAATCTACTTATTTTTGAAAAAAAATTATAAATAAAAAAAACTAATTCTTAATAATTTCATCGTCAAGTGAAGTTGTTCGTTTGTTCGTTTGGGTACGACTGTTCCACTGATACTTTTTTTTTTTATTGGATGAAAATGGAGTGGTAACCCCGCCTGCGCTAATGGGATACGCTGGCGGGGCACCAGTGAAGGGTGATCGATGAGGATGAAAACAGGCCAGTTAACCCATCATGATGAACTCATCAGGAATTAACCATGATAGTTTCCAGGGGGAACCGCGAGGAGGTCGACCTGGTTGGATATATTGCTAGCAATGGGATTCTTAGTCTCCATTACTAACAATCCCTTTTCTCCCCTGTTCCACTGATACTACCGTGAAGCTGTTATTCTTGCATAGCTGTGTATCGATTTAAAGGAGATACGGCGGTGAAACTCGCTGCGTGTGCCCCGACATAGGATGGGCCACCGCTTCCTTGCTCGTGGGTGTCGTAAAAGATGACTAAGAGAGGACGAGGGATGGGCAGCAGCGTCCCTCGTAAAACATCTCGAAAAGCCTAACTGCGGTTGCCAATCCGCCTGCCAAGCGTAGCAGCTACTGGCAAAACCTTCCATGGAGAAGGCTTATGTCCAGCAGTGGACAGTTAACCCTTAAATACCTGAAGTTTCAAATTAAGATAATAATAAGAAGAATAAGAAGATACCGGGGTTATAAATCTCATTGGGCGCCTACAATCGATTTTATTTTAATATTTGGCTGTTTACATGTTACCAAATGTTTTTTTTTTCAAAATAAATATATAAAAATATCGTTTTGATTTTTTTTTTACAATTTTTCCTCATTAGTAAACACAGTAAAGTATAAGTGTATCCTTATATATTTTTTAATTTGATTTAAAAAATCAGGCTTTTAAGGGTTAAAAGCTGGTGTGATGATGATTATAAATCGTGTCGTAATTTTAAGGAAACAAAACTGCATCCTTTTCAATAGTATCCATCCTTTATATAATAATCGATTATCTAACAAGCCATATAAATAATATGCATATAAAGTCCTTGGGACGATAAAGTAAGTTATATGTCTTACTGATGGCGAAATAATGGCATACTATGACTACTTTTACGATAAATAATAAAAAAAAAAACAAAAAAAATATTACAACTGTTCCGTTTCGAAACAGTTTTCATTCTTATTTTTGTTAATATTGAAAAACGACAATCTCAAAAATCTATGTAACTTTATTTTAAAAATAATGGCAAACAAACTGATGGTCTGCCTGATGGCAAATGGTAACCCACGTCTATATCCATGGAAAGCATCATGAAAATCATAGTACTATACATGGTATCTAATACAGTTATATATTTAGATATATATTTGAGGGAGACTTTGTACAAAAGTCGATTGCTTGGGTATCTCTGTCCCATTCGTGTTTCAGCCGTGAAGCAGTTGTGTTTGCATGGCTGTGTTTCGGTTTGAAGGGTGGGATATGGCGTGAATTTACTGGGTACACAGGAATAACACCTGAGTCCTCAGGAATGGCAACGCATGGGGGGTATCATGGGCGAAAGAGTATACTCTGTTATGTCCATGGTACTGCTCATGTCTATAGGTGACGGTTACCACTTTCCATCAGGTGGGCTGTCAGCTTGTTTGCCATTCTAAGTTGTATAAAAAACATATATATATATATTTAGAAGCGCCATTAAAATTTTAATGCTATTTAACGTATTAATTAATTACTCACTTACTTCTTTTCCATTTTATTTCCACGCATTTTCCAGTGAAACAAGAACCTTTTTATACTCAAAGGGAAATTTAAAGTAACATTATTATTATAAATGGAACTTCATAATTTATCACAACCTTAATTGAAAGTGCTAGTATATTGTAGACAACCTTCGAGTGTAATTTATTAAGGGGCACCAAAGCCTTTGTACAAAGCGCCATGGTTTCCTATAGAACAGCCGTAACGTAAGCAAATTGCCTTACGCTGCGATGTTAAATGGTGTATCATAATGCCATAAACCACAGTGGTCTCTAGGGATGTCCGCTTCCACGGATGATAGAGATGATTTTACAGGGTATAATACTAACAGTGGGGACTATAGTCCCCATTGCTCTAACAGTCTTATGCCTTTGTTTAGTTATGGTTTGAATGGTTACGAGACAGTCAAGTGGGATTTCTTGTACACAAATTTTAAATTAATACAAAAATGAATACTTTTACCCAAATACTAAGATTATGCTGTTACCTCTATGATTTTATTGTTAAAAGTTTTGTAAATAAATATTATATAAAATAAAATAAAATACACATATGTCTATCGGGTTTTTCTATCATTACAATAAATCTGTACGATATATTCATCAGATTACAAAAAAGGCGGTTTAGTGAAGCATCATAGATGAAATCAGGCCTATTGCGACGAATTCACCAGGAATCAACCGCGAAGGTTTCCAGGGGGACCACGACATACGAGTACATACATTGCATACAGTACACTTTCAGATGCGGAGATTTTAAGCAACTTTTTCCCTTCATTCTATACTCTTTGTGGCCGTGTGGTCCGGGCATAGAATAGGCCACACATTTCTTTCCTGTGAGTGTCACAAGAGACGACTAAGTGAGGGAGAGGAATAGGCAGCAGGGTTTCTTTTAAAACATGTCTAAAGCTTAACTGAAG